ATGAGGTGGCTGGATGGAGTCACCTCATCCTCTGCCGTCCCCTTCTTCTTTTGCCATCTATTGTTCCCAGCATTAGGCTCTTCTCCAGGGAGTCCTTCCTTCTCATTAGGTGGCCAAAGTATTTGAGTTTCATCTTCAGGATCTGGCCTTCTTTTTTTTTTTTTAAGTTTTATTAAAATTTTAAACTAATACTACAAACATCAAATATCACATACATCGGATTTACTGGGTCAACCCCCTAGTACGTATTTTTTAACATTCTATAGCCAAATTCAAATCAGTTTATAATAACTTAAAAACATCTCTAAATTTATGCCAAGTCCCGTTTCTGCAGTCAATTATAGAAAAAATCCCAAGTTTGATAGAAGTCAGCGTCTTCTTTCTCCTTCAATGATAAAGTCAGTCTATCCATTTCTGTGCAGTCCAAAATCTTTCTTAAAATCAGTTCATTGGTGGTTAGCTCCTCACTTTTCCAGTATTGAGCAAATGCAATCCTCGCCGCTGTGATTAAGTGTAACATCAAATACATTTCCTGTCTGTTAATATCTTCTGGTATGATGCCTGACAAGAAAACTTCAGGTTTAAAAGCAAAGGGTCTTTGTAGTATTACCTCCATCCATTTGTGTATTTTAATCCAATACTTTTTCGCATTATCACAAGTAGGATCTGGCCTTCTAAAGAGCAGTCAGGGTTGATCTCCTCTAGGACAGACCAATTTGATCACCTTGCTGTCCAAGGGACTCGCAGGAGTCTCCGCCAGCACCACAATTCAAAGGCCTCAACCCTTCGGCGCTCAGCCTTCCTTATGGTCCAACTTTCACAGCCATACATTGCAACTGGAAAAACCATAGCCTTGACTATCCTGGGTAGTTTGGTATTTTGCCCATCTACCCCCAGCACTTCTGGAGAAGAGCCAGAGGCTGCTAGCTTGCCTTAGAATTTCCATATTTCTGCAAGGGTTAACTTTAGCTCATGAAGGAGCTACATTTGGCCTTTGGGGCACTGTGCAGCTACCACAGAAGCCCCCCTTTTGTAGTTTTTTTCAGCACTGCCACCCCCTGCACATTGCCCATCCCTGCTTTATCGATTGTGAGAATTAAGGCCAGCGAGGAACCCCACCCCGGTCAGTCACTATATAGGATCAATGTGCATAGAATAACCGCTGCTTTTCTGTCCTCCAGGTGGAAGACCCTTCCTCCTACAAACGGGATACCTGGGCCATGAGCAAGGATGAGAAGCTGCTGGCAGTGCCCAAGCTTCACACAGAGGGCAACCGGCTGGTTCTCTCCAGGAAATTCAAGGAAGCAGCTGAGAAGTACCAGGAAGCTGTCATCTGTTTGCGCAATGTCCAGGCCAAAGTGAGGGCTGCCTTCGGCTAAAGCAATGCTTCTGAATGAATTTTATTACACCTTTGCATATCTAAGACTTCAGCAGAATCCTTACTGTAGATTCCCCACCACCACTCTGGTTCAACCAAGGCTGATGGCTTCCAAGGCAAGGGTGCTTGGGGCCCTCACACCTTCTGGTATGCCCTCCCCAGAGCCGCCTGCCCGCTGCCTGCCTTGTTGTCTTGTCAGCACTCTTTTTAATCCTACTCCCTTCATATATATGTTTAAGTCCTGCAGATGGTTTCCTGAATCTTTTCAGATCCTGCTGACTTTTATAATGGTAATTAAGTCCCTTATTAGGAATTATAAATTGGCATTGTATTTCCTTCCTGTGTAAACTGCCCCTGAAATTTTTAAAAATCAAAATTCAATAGATAGAGGATATTTGGACTGAGATGGCGATTACAGATGAGATACATGCACACCTTTTAGCTGTGCCTTCTTGGGAGCATAAATGACCCCCCAAAACAGGGAAGGGGGGTAGTGTCTACCAGGCTTCACAAACCACCAGGATGATGTATGCTCATAGCTTGCCTTTATGCAGGCTTTACAGTGCTCCCCTGTTCAAGATACTCGCCAGGTCTAACCTCCTTAGCTTCAGCGGCACTCAGGCCCGGTCTCACACTCTTTCTTCACTCCACTCACGTTCTCGTAAGGCACGTGGGGCTGTGGAGCTTCTTCCATAAGAGCTCGAGGAAAGCCATGCTGGATCAGACCAAAGGTCCGTCACTCGAATCACAGCTGTGGCTAACAGCACCTCACAGGATCCCTCCAGCTGGATGGGTGCCTGCCCAAGCTCCTCAGCAACTGGCATGCTGCCTCTGGTATTGGATGTAGCACATAGCCAGCAGGGCTAGTAGCCACCTCCCTCATGAATTTGCCCACCCCCTCCTTTTACAACCATCCAGATTGGTGGCCATCACAACCTTCTGTGGCAGTTAATTCCATAGCATGACTGTGTGTTCCCGTGGCAAACTTCGGCCTTTGGGCTACGGCTTTCCTCTCAGGTTGCCCTTGGCTGGACAGGTCTGCACACTCACTCCAGGCTAAGCTTCTCCTCTCTTTGGTCCTTTGCTGTGTCTTTTGACAGGAGAAGCCACAGGAGGAGGAGTGGGTCAAGCTGGAGAATCTCATCACGCCACTCGTGCTGAACTATTGCCAGTGCCAGCTGGAGCTGGGGGAGTATTATGAGGTCTTGGAGCACACCACGGACCTCCTCCAGAAGAACAGCAGTAAGTGCCTGGATCCAGCTGCAAACCACGGTGCAACTGGAAGGGGCACGTTGCCCTTGGAGACAACCCTCACAATACTGCAGTCAGCATTTGCTGTGGGTGGGGTTGTGCCTATTGCTTCGCAGCCACTCCCGGTTGGCCCACACAACTGCCCGAGTGGTTCATGAGCTGCTGCTGGCCCCCAGCCAACTTCCCTTCTTCTTCGAGTTGTCTATATTTACAAGAAAGCAACATGGCCATTTGTCATTTGGGGCCTTTTTTTTGCAGTCTCACGACCTCGAAGTTTAGCTTTGTTTGACATTTACAGTTGAGATTTTGGATTCTGTAGCCCCTTACTTAATTTCCTGCAGCATAATTGTGGACTCATAAAAGTGTGGATTTTAGATTTGGTGGTGGGGCGAGGGCTTCCTAGGCAAGATGCGCTCAGTGAGGCCCCATCAGTTTGTCTCCCTCTGGCTCCCTGCTTCCTCGATCCATCTGGGTTCTCTTTGCAACTGTGCCTGGAAGCAGCAGGCATGGCGAGAGACTGTTGCTGCTGAGTCTGTCTGTTGTGGATTGCGCACCTAGAGCAGGTAGGCACACAGGTGTGAGGAGGAGCAGAGGCAGAGGTCCTGGAGACAGTACTGGGCTTTGGCAGGTGCCCCAGGTGTCGACCCCGGATCCCAACCTTGACAAAATATAGGCTTCCAGGGCCCTCACACGCATCGTGTCTGAGCGAATAAGTGGGGAGCAGGGAAAAACTCAGCAGACATCCGGCCATGTTTACACATCACTACACTTGAGAGAGAGAACGGACGGACGAATACATTTGGCATGGACAGATACGGCCCTTCGTAAATGTAGAAAGTAATGGCTCTCGAATCTGGAACACTGCGAATGGGAGACTCAGTCTGCCTGGTCACTGAAGGAGTTTGATCTCGCACTCCTTGTGGTTCTGCATGGACCTAAGGCAGCTTTACTAGGAGAAGACCTTTAAATACACTGGATTCTGTCTGTGGGATTCCTGTCAATTGATGCCAGGCAGGGGCCACGGCTTTGCTTTGCTTTCAGTGTCTGCCCTGGACACTTTTATGTAAACTAGCTTTTCCTTGAATCACCAGCCACAGTTTTGTTCATCCAACTTGCCTTTTTGATGCTTCTGTAGTTTGATTCCTTTTTATTGTTCATCACTTGGGAATTTTGTATGAGCTAGATGGGTTCTACATTCTAATCAACCAGGAGATATTTTGGAGTGGGTGGCAGGGAGGTTGGATGAGTTATTGACAGCTTCCCAAGGAGCTCAATTTCTTGTTTCCCTCTAGAAAACGTTAAGGCATACTTCAAGCGAGCGAAGGCCCACGCGGCCATCTGGAACGAAAAGGAGGCTCGTGAGGACTTCATGCGGGTGGCTTACCTGGACCCATCCCTGGCAGCCGCTGTGAGGAAAGAGTTGAAGATCCTGGGGGAACGGATGAGGCAGAAGCACGTGGAAGAGCGCAAGCGGTACCAGGGTCTCTTCCAGCAACCTCTCCATAAAAAGGAAACGGAGCAGAGCAGGGCTGCGGAGACCGGAGAGCTCCCCAAGGGGAAAGAGCCGCTGCCTGGCTGTAGCCTCGGGAGGGCAGAGATGGAGGGAAATGACCCAGAAGCCAACGAGCCTAAAAAGAGGGGTGAAATCGGGGCAGGTAGTGGAGAACCGGAGCCAGGGAGTGTAGAGGAGGAAAAGGGAGGCATCCTAGTGGGGCGGGAAATGGGCAACAAGGACTTTGCCTCTCCAGAAGAGATCAGGATGACTGCGCAGGTCGAAAGCGAGGTACGTGACCAAGGGACGGCACCGAACTATTCTGCACATAATGGCACAGAAGGTGAAAGCTCCTGCCGCAGGCAGCAGCCGGACGTTGGGCAACAGGGGGCTGATCGGGAGGGGGGCAATGCCGAAGACTCTTGCAGCCAGAAAGACGCTGCCGGCTTTGCGAGGCCAAAGGAAGATGGAGAAAGGAGAACCGGCTGTGGGGGGTTTGAGGAGGCTGTGGGGGGAGCTGCTGGAAGCGCCATGATCAGCAGAGGGGGCGGGCCTGTGGAAGGCCCCTGTGGGCCCGGGCAGTGCCCCACAACCCAGGATTCCAGCGGAAAGAGAGAAGAATGTGAAGAGTGTGGGGAGGTTGGAACTCCCGCTGGGGTCCTTCCTAGGACACAAGACCAGGCAGCCCGTGGCCCGGAGGATGTTGCCGAAGGAGCGAGAGGGAAAAGCGCTGGGCGAGGCAGCGAAGGCGGTGGCATCCAGCCGCTCTGCGAAGGCTCCGGGAGAGAGGCGAAGGGGGCGGCTGCAGAACTGCAGCTGCGGGAAGCTGCTGGTTCAGACTGGGGGAGCCCTGGAGGATGGCGAGAACGTGCCTCTGGAGGGAAGGACAAAATGGGGGACGAAATGGAGTGAGAAAGAGGCGCTGACGATCCTCCCAAACCAGAGAGAATGGTGTGTGAGCAAGAAGCAGGACCAGGACCCTGTGAGGGAAGCCTGGGAAGCGGAGGGGTGGCAGCTGAGCCTTGTGCGAAGGGGTTGATGGATGCAAAGGCAGAGGTCTGCTCCAGAGCAGGGAATTCTGGGGAGGAGGAGGGCAGCCCTGGAGAAGAAGGTGGATGCTGGAGAGAAGAAACGAACGAGGAGTCTGGTGCTGCATCACAGGGACAGAGCGAATATGTTGAGACTGAGAGGCATGTCAGAGCTGAGAGCACCGAAGGGGAGAATTTGGATACAGAACAAACAGTTTTGCAAGTCAGCTGCGAAGGGGCAGGGAAAGAAAGAAAGGATGCAGAACTGAATAAAATGAAGACTCCCAGTGAGACATCGAGGGGGGAAAGTGAGGATCCGCTAGACACTTTGCTTTCTGTGCAGGGGGTGGGGAACAAAGACCAACATCAACTGGCTGGGCCAGCGACAACTGGCTCAGAGAGGATGGGAGCAAGGTGTGAAAGAACTGGTCATATTCACTGAAGCAGCCAGGTCAGCGTTCGGGAAAGGCCCTCCATGGTGGTCCCTGGCATTCTCTTCAGCTGTACAATCGGCCCTCTTGGAAAACACGTGTCCCTTTTACTCCAGTTCAGGCTGAGTACTTTATAGGATGGCCACCCTGAGGAGGCTCAGCTGACACCATCCAGGTTATTTCCTCAGTGCCAGGAAAAAATCTTGCTTTTTTGCACAGATTCTAGATTGTATATCTGTTGGTATGTGTGTGTATATATAAAAATGACACCATTTGTCCATAGTGCTTTAGTCTTTTATTGTTGTGTAATCCACCCATGGGACTTGTGTTATTGGGTGGATTCAAAAGGTAATAAATCAGTGCATACTGGACAAAATAATCAAAGGTGTTCTGAGGAGTGGATTACTCTTGCTTCTGGCAAACAGGTTTTTCTTGCTTGCTTGTTTGAGTGGGGTGTGGTGCCAATTCCCCTGGTTTCAGGTTGGGCTATAGCTGGCCTTACCTGTCAGCAACATAAAAAGGATAAAAAGCTGAACCTGTAAATATCTCACAATACCCCCATGGCATTGTGGGAAATTTAAAATGGTACTTCCCTGACTAGGCTCAGGGCAGGCAATGGCATCTACTGGCAGGTGTTTGAGGATGCTGGGTACTGAACTAGAAAGACATGTGGAGACAGTAACGCCAGCCCATGGCCTCACAAACAGTATAATAGGCAAGCAAGGGCCAGATTCTCACGGAATGATGCATTTGTACAATGGACAGTTTGTTTTCCAGCCAGCTTTTAGCAGTGGGACTACACGAGCAAAATTAAAATTTCTAAACACATCCCATCTTTTCTATTAAGCAAACGCATGTCTTCTCGAAGCATTCCCTACAAAACCAGGCCTAGAAACCTGCAAAAGTACATTCTGTGCACATTACTATCCTTTGTCCCGAATTTCTGCAGATTTTCTGTTCTCCTGTGCACTGGAAACACACATGTGCCCATTTTGTCTCTTTTTATACCAACAGACATTCTCCAGCCAAGGATTCCCCCTTGTTGTCATGGAAATGATCGCCGGGTTCTCTACTTCAGAGCTTAGGGTCTCATACACAGAAAAGGGACGTGAGAGAAGCCGGCTGAAGGATGCCATCCGTCCATTTGCACTGGGCCAGATCTCACCTTTCCCGTGCTACGGTTCTAGCCATGAAGCCAAATTTAGTAGGCATCCCCGCTATGTGGAGGTGGGAATCTATAAAGCAAATATAATTCTATAAAGGAAGGAGGCACCACTGCAGGATGAGGGAAGACTCCTGGCAAGGCTATAGGTGAATGCTTTTCACCTTTTCTGTATTGTGCTCCTACCCTGTAACTACGTTTCCCCCCTATACTATAGGATTGTTTTTGTTGCTAGTTGCGAAGTCCTGCAGACTCATCCCAACCCCATGGAAAACATTCCTCCAGGCCTTCCTGTCCTCGCCCATCCCCTGCAGTTCACTTAAGTGCTTCAGTGACTCCATCTAGCCGTCTCATTCTCTGCCGTCCTCTTCTTCTTTTGCCATCTATTGTTCCCAGCATTAGGCTCTTCTCCAGGGAGTCCTTCCTTCTCATTAGGTGGCCAAAGTATTTGAGTTTCATCTTCAGGATCTGGCCTTCTAAAGAGCAGTCGGGGTTGATCTCCTCTAGGACTGACCGGTTTGATCACCTTGCGGTACAAGGGACTCGCAGGAGTCTCCTCCAGCACCACAATTCAAAGGCCTCAGTCCTTTGGTGCTCAGCCGTCCTTATGGTCCAGCTTTCACAGCCATACACTGCAACTGGGAAAACCATACCCTTGACTATATACGCACTTTTGTTGGCAGGGTGATGTCTCTGCTTTTTAGTCTGTTGTCTAGATTTGCCATAGCTTTCCTCCCCAGGAGCAAGCGTCTTTTAATTTCTTGGCTGCAGTCACTGTTTGTGGTGATCATGGAGCCCAGGAAAATGAAATCTGTCACTCACTCCATTTCTTCCCCATCTATTTGCGAGGAAGTGATAGGACCAGATGTCATGATCTTTTTCGGCCCCTTTCGCAGTGGGCATCGTGGGATGATTTTGGGCATTTCGGACAGATTTTGCTTGCCTTCCCCAGACACCCCTCTCTGTCCCACTGCAGGGGAAAAAAGGTCATGACAAGGAGCAGGTTCATGGGGCTTGTTGCAGGGGAACCTTTGGAGATGCCCAGCTATGCTGACTCCATGCCTGAACCTGCTCCTTGTCTTGAAGGGAGGGCAGGACACAGATCTGATAATTTCCTGTCTTTTATTAAATTTTGCACATGGATAAATGCACAACAGAGAACCCAGCATGCTTTCCAAAGAAGGTCAACATCCCATACCATCAAGAATGAAACCAAACAATGAAACCAATATAAATACAAATTTATTCTTTTTTGTTTTTGATGTAGCCAGAGTAGAAACTGAAAAGACTCGAATGAGGATAGCACATTGAAACCAGTTGCACGCCCAGTCTTTAACCAAAGAGACCCTCTCTTCTGGTCTCCCACAGCTCATTACTTCCACCCAGAGATTTTCAGATGTAAAAAAACTTGGCCAAGTTCAGCCCTTGTTCTTGACTGCAGCTTTCCTGATGGGTAGGGAAGCAGATGCCCAAAGTGAGAAAAATCTCTTGCCCTTCCAATGGGAAGAACGACTCTGGAAAACCAGGGAGGCGCAATTGTATTGACTGTCCATGCCCAGTATAAGGGCCTAAACACGGTGCTGTGAGGATGAAGGAACCAATGGATGCTACTTACAGCAATTATTTTTCCAGAAATCACTGAACTTTACATCACAACCTGCCTATGCACACACCGGAAAGTTAAATTATATACATTTAAAAAGCAACACAAATTCTGTTGAGCTCAGATCTTTCTGGTTAGGGAGCAGGGAGGAGAAGGCACAAAGTTTTACTTGCCTGTCTTATCAGAAAATTGTCTTATTGTTAAATGGTAAGCCACCTCAGTTGCTGTTTAGTACAAGTAGTAATAACTCTCAACACCAATAAAAAGTTAGAGAACTCCTTATCTTAGCACCATGGAGGAAAGCGACCCACATTTATTGGTTTAGGTTAGAAATTTTTAAACTGCATTTGAGGATGTGCCGTCTTTGCAAGTTAGTTTACTGGACATAGAGTTTAGGGAGCAATCCTATGCACATTTTGACAGAAGTCTAGGACTTCTTTCTGTTTAAGCATGCATAGGATTGTGCCCTCACCATGTCCTGCTGATAATATTGCTCCTATATTCTGTCTTCTGCTGTTGTAGAGGAGCTGAGGTAGCTGTGACTATTCCCACATGCAAAATCCAAGAAGCTCCTTTATCACCAACAGAGAGCAGGCAAACCTCCACGGCACAGCATCCCTGCAAGAGCAAAGCTAATCTGGCACTAAGCATATTTCAATCACTAGCAAATCCAAGAAAAGTGTGTGTCTTCTCAGAGAATTAGATCAATTTCAGGTCTGCTTAACTGGCATCACCTTCAGCCACAGAACCTCAGGCTCTCACTCTGAAAAAGGACTTGGAATGACTCTTATGGAACTACATTTCCCAGGATACTTGGGAGAAAAGCCCTTATGCTTAAAACACATAAAGCAAGAAATATAGACAGAGTGGCCAGATGCAAGACTGGCTCCTGATATCTTTAAGAATCGAAGGAAAGGGAATGTTTTAGGAGGTGTTGCTCTCCTCACCTCTGCTGCCTGCCCCAGATTTCTCCTTCCAGCCTTCCCCAGCCTGATGGCCTCCCTATTTGTGAGCCACTACCATGCTAAGCAGAGCTGGGTGGGCTTGAACCGTCAGTCCGGAGGGCTCCTAGTTGCAGAAGTCTCCCCATTCTGTGCAAGCACACAACTCCTGTCGCTCCTTTGCACACACGCACTCTGGGTCCTGCTGGGACCAGCACTGCTGCTGACCATAAACTAAGATGGCACTGTCGGAGAAGGGCGTCCTTTCCCTGCTGGGTTCCCTCTGCTGGGACCCACCCAGGCGGAATGATGCACAGCCCCTGCATCTCGCCAGGGGAAGGAGCAAAAGATACCCCCTGCCCGCTTTTTTGCAGAAGCAGCGAAAAAGGAAATGCAACATACCAAAAGAGTCAAGTTGGCCCTCCAAATGTTGGGCTACAGGGCCATCCATCTTAGGTAGCATAGCCCATAGTGAGGGATGATGGGAGTTGCAGTCCATCTGCATCCGGAGGGCCACACATCGCCCACCACTACGTTAAGCATGTTTATGCCTCACCTGCGTTCTCATCTGCTCTGGCTCATGGCACCAGGGGAATTTCACTCCCTGCTGAAGACTACGGTTCGTCACGTTTTTAAAAAGAAGATACAATCAGAAATAATTACACCAATTATTTCAGCAGGGTTATTTCAAGGCTCAAACAGGGCAAGTCCTCGGCAGGAAGGACTGGTAAGTGACCATGAAAAACTTCCCTGCTCTGGACTGCAGGTTCACCATGACAGAATCCTGAACAACGTGCTTTTTGTTTGCACACAACCACACGCCCACAGGACAGCTGGTGGTGCCGGCCATCTCAGTGACCTCTGTTTCCTTTAAGAACCATCGCAATACAATTCTGCTCATTCCTTGGATATTCCCCCCCACTTGGCATCCTCCATGAAGCTCAACAGACAACCTGCTGTAGTAATCTAGCAACTCCACATAACTGACACACAACTTGCTCCAACCGCCCTTTCAACCTACAGCGCTCTTGGCATACAGAACATTCCTGACAATCTACAAAGCTACAGCCAGGAGCCAACAAGCCACACTGCCTGCCAGGAACTGGACAACACCCGCCACAAATCTTGCATTTTTATGGGGTTGTTCTATAGCCGAGGCAGCTTTCTAAGTCCTTTTATGTTTTCGTTGGGCAGAGCGTCGCTTATACTCTGCAGTTTACACAACATCCACAGAGAACCTGCAACAAACATACATGCATGCACATTCCATGGCCTGCAGTGTCTCCAATACACGTTTACAATCTGTGTTGCATGCATCTTACAATCCACAGCCACAGTCCATGAAAAACACCTTTATGCACAGCCACAAGACTTGCTTTGGAGCATATCTCTAAAATCTAAAATATTTCAATAGCCCTTGCCTCCCCGTCCCCCCCATGCCCTGCAAGTTTATTGCACATGACCCAGAGCAACTCTAAGGGAAACCTGGAAGCTCCAAAGCCACCTGATCTTGCTGGATCTCCAGAGGCTAATGGTGGGGAAAATCCTGACTGATCAGACCGTGCTGAGCATTGGCCACATTCCTGGTGAGAAGAGCAGGAAAGATGACAATTTGAACAGGAATCGGATGCACAGGGCTCCTGAGGGGTCCGAATGAGTCGATCCTGCCACTCTGTGTCCGAGGTGCAGGCAGATATGGACTGTTTGTGCAGGTCCTTGCACAGCGCACTTGGTGCAAGTCCAGTGTGCTTTGGAAGGGCATCCATACTACACCCGTCCACACAAGGGGAGCTGACCTCCCCAGGCCACTGCTTCTAATGCTTATTTCCCTTTTTGCATGCTAGGCATGTGAGTCCCTTTTCTTTCTGCTTGCGGCCTTCTGGAGATGACAGTGAAACTCTGCTATCTGTGTGGCTCACAGCCACACCTTGCACCACCCTCAGGAAAAACAGGGGCAGGACTTCCACCCCCTTGATGCCAAACACCTTCATTGCCACGCTGCCAAAAGCAAGCGTCATGTGCTGTCTGATCCATAATAGGTTAGATCAGAGCTCACTTCAAACCAGGCAGTGGCTCCCTCCATGCTTAATTGTTCCAGTGGGACCCAACCTGTCTGAGTGGAAGCAACTCGACTAACTGAAGGTCCAAGAGAAATAGACAGCATTCACTCACGGTATGGCTCTCTTCTCCTTCCACCCCAGAATAAAACCTCAGCCTTCTGAATAGTTGCAATTTGCCTGAATGGCAACAGGGCACCTGTTTATTTTCCAGGGTAAGAAGTCGCACTGCTCCAGGCCTATGCACAGCTCAGGAGGAGAATTTTATGAAGGGGGGGTTGTTCACCCAAAGCACAGAGGTACGTGGCTTTAATGCACTTTGGCAGGAAGTTCTGAATTGCATTTCCCTTGATCATCACCTAACTTATGGGAGATCCAACACGGAATGCAGTTAAGAGTGCTCTGCCAGTGACTGCAGGACAGCTGAGCACTTGTCAGATTTCTCACATGAGCTGATCCGACTGCGAAGGACTTTTCCCGTGCCATGATGGGATCAGCAACCCTTGTGGATGCAGGACGGCCAGACTCCCTGTTTCTCAAGAGGCCACTCGGGTGGAGATCATTCCAACTGCAAAATGAAACCACACAAACCCAGCTTCTGAAAAAGTGTCCGGGAAGAACGAAGGAGGGAGAGTTGACTTTATCAGTCACAGAGCTCAGAACAGACCAAAACAGCAAAGCCAAAATAAACAGATAACAAGGTATTAGAATTTAATGCATGAGGGAGTCCAGAACAGCACTTAAATACAGTATATATAATATGCATTTATATATATTATATATAATATATAAATATGTAAATTAAAACAATAAGGCTCTCTGTTATAAAGCTTCTCTCGTGTAAGGCTTGCTACTGCTGTTGGAACAGTGTGTTTTAAAGCCTGCCTTCTCCCTCAATAGCCATTCCTGTGAGATTTCTTCCGGATCATTTTGCTACTTTGCACTGAGCTCAAAGACACAGACACATCCAGTTGTTTGCAAGCTCCTTTCACAACATACCCAGCTTTTATGTAGAAGTTTCTCTTTCTTTTCCATAAAAAAGTTTTCGGATTTTTTCTGGTGGGTCCTGGGACTTCCCCCTGCTGACTTGTTCAGTCACCATCTGGTGGGATGCCACAGACGTGAGCAAAATCTGCGATGGGTCACGTCCTGACACAACCCAAAAGCAGCCCACCAAAGGCAGTTGTCGTCCACAAACTGTAGAGAAGAAAACACTCTTCATAGCGATTTGCACAGAAAGGTGGCTCTCTGCACCCACCAGAGGCTCCTGTCCTTTCCAAGTTCCTGGAATCCAGGCTTCTAACAACACCCACTGTTGACTTTGTCCAGCTCTGGGTGGCTCCAGGCAGCCCTTCAAAAAAGTGCTCTGGAATGGCTGAGGACTGGGAGCCAAAGCCTGCGACGATTCTGATAACCTTCTGGTGAAGGGCGGCTCCTTAAGGGTCCGCGTGAAGCTTGCCACACGGGGGAAGAACATGGTTGAGCAGAAGGGAGCGTGGCTGCTCCCGAGGTTAGACGAAGCCTCTTGCTTGCAGGGCTTGTTAGATAAGGGAAGTTGGACCTGAAAGAGAAAACCGCGCTCGGTCATGTCCAGTGGAATTAGTGGAAGCTGATGCTGGAAGCAAGCTTAAGGGCTGGATTTGGTTGGGTGGTGTGATGCTAAGGGCTTGCACACACATTGCGTCGCATCCTGTAGGTATTATCTACACTGGAGCATCCGTATTGGACGGCAGGGCTAGCAACCTGCACCACTGCTAGCCTTCTGTCCTGTCCTGTCTTGCACTGTCCTTCATTTTTAGTGCTGAAATTAGTAGCTCAGACACAAGACTACTCACTTTAGCAAAACGCTCCTTGGTGTTAGCAGCAGCTGCAAAGAGGACTCTTAAATAGAACTGTCTGCATGTCTTCTTGTCTACAGAACACCTTCCCTTGTGCCTGAACACCTCTGTCAGGTTTGGCACCCTTTTTGAAAGAAAAAAATTGCAGTGCTTTGAAGTGGACGTGCATTTATCTAGTCATTCACCACTTCCAGTTTTAAACACTTGTTTTTTTAAAAGAGCAATCCATTTGAATGGTGCCAGCTTTTCTGGGCATGGGCTCATGATGCTACCAGTGACAGCGCACCCAATTCCACTGTGACTTGGAGTTACACTTTCCCCCCTAACCTTCTTCCTGAAATGCTCAGTCTGGAACGGCGGAGGCTGCCTTAGGATAGCTGACACGGACACACTCAGGACTGCCCTGTGTCGCACCACAACTCAGATCACACCTGTGGCGTGACCAATGATGCCTGAAGGGCGAGGAAAGACTCTGCACAAGACAGATTTGGAGGAAGGTTGGTGTACAGAGACTGGCTTTAGCCCATCAAGCTTTCAGGAACGGATCTTTCCCAGCCCTCATCAGAGAAGCTGGGACGGAGCCTGCAACCATCTGCGTGGTCTCTGCTCTCTGGGATTTCAGAGGCAGCCCGACCTGTGCAGGGCAGCCACACGGATCAAATAGTGTTATATCATCATGCACAAAGGACTTGCAAGCCACCGCAGACCGGCTGATGCCAGGAAGGGGAGCAGGGCAGAGGTGTAAATGTCATTTATCTTTGTGCTTCAAAACATACATAAAAATAAGCTGAGCCACAAAATGTCTCTTCATTTCTTTTCATTCATGTCTTGCCCAGGAGATATCCCTGCCTCCTGTAAAGACATATTGGGGCGGGGGGAAGCATTTGGTTGATGATGCCCTTTTGGGGCAAAAGAAAGTGTGATTAATAAGGACACACAAGCAAAGCGATAAAATTCAGTTAGAGGATGGGATCGCAGGACACCAACATCATAAGCAACCAAGCTAGGAGCAAATCTTAATGCAATGGCTAATACCAGCTGCTGCCCATTCTCAGAACTGAAAAGCATCTAGGAGAACTTGAGAGACTTCTTCAGGAAGGCCAAGGGGTGAGGTCTTTGTCCTGTCAGGAGAAAAAGGGGCTGTGTCTGAAATCACAGACTGAAGCTTATTTTGTTTTTCATGGCTTTTAGCAAAAGGAAGTTTTGGGGCCAGGGAATCTAAAGGAGCACCCCTCCCCATAGGAACCTACTTCTGAGGGAGCCCCTCCTCAGGAAATAAGGAAGGTGGCAACAAGAAGAAGGGCCTTTTTGGGAGTGGCACCCCAACTTTGGAATAAGCTCCCTAGAGAGGTTTGCCTGGCGAAGACCTTTTCATTTCACTGGTCTTTAACTATTAATCTGTTTTTAATGGTATTTTAATAGATCATGGCATGCCTTTTATGAAATCACTAGTTTTGTTAAGTTGAGGTGGGTACACTTTTATTGTCTTACTGCTTTATTATTATAATTTGAGTTTTTATACTGTTTTTATATGGTTTTACTGTTGTAATCTGCCCAGAAAGCCATGTGGCTAATGGGCGGGGTAAAAAATTATAAAAAATATATAAAACAAAACAAGGCCTCTATTGTCTAGGGATTAGAGCATTCTCTGCTCCTTTGTTCCCAGGTTTCCTTAGGAGAAATTCTGCCTCTTAAATAGCTCTTCAACTTGTCAAAACTGATTGCAAATGGGACCTGCAATAAAATGTTGCAGTACAGAGTGGCTCCTATTCAGGAATCCAGACAACAAGACACGCTTCCTTCCAAAATGTTTCCTCCCTTTCCCGCTCGTGACTGATTTATCAGGCCTCTCCCAACAAACAGCATGTTGCGGCCAGACAGCCTGCTCATACATGACTGGGCCATTATTGGAGGGTTTTTTTTAATCCTCATGCATTTTCCCCTAGAAGCTTTATAGGTTTTTATTTACCCCACACCAGCACTACCACAAGACTGCTCTAACTGTTTGGTGGAGGCATTTACATCAATTAGCAGCCTGGCGCAAAAGTACAGTTGACTTGCCTTTTTATTCTTTCTGTACCTGCCCTCCCCAGCCCCGTATAGAGTCTTTCATGCTTCTGTCCAAGGGGGTCTGAGAGACAGAGAGCGGGACATGTGCGTATACCCTATTTTCAGTGGGACCAGCTGGGTCCATGCACTGCAGAAATGGTCAGGTTCCAGCAGGAATTCACAGCCCCAAACAAGAGAACAGCTTCCCATCTCTGATGCCGATGCAGGATTTCCTGCTCCGTACCTCCAGAGTTGGGGAAGGCATTCCGCAACTTCTCCATGATGTCCTCCAGGCATAAGCCCACGTCCTGCGGGCTCACCTCCACTTCATCTGAGAGAAGGAAAAATGGGGAAAGAGAAAACAATCAGCTGAAAAGTCATGGTTAACACTGCAGGACAGGTCTCGACCTGAGACCACTGAGGACTCGGAGATCAGGAAGAAGAGAGGCCAAGCCACAGCCTAACCCAAACATGCGTTTCCTCTGCCAGGCTCCTGCTCTCTAGCAACGAAAGTTACGCTACCTCTTTACCTGTTCAACAGGCTTATTTCCTATGGAATGACCCCAACCCCTCCCCATGGCACCCCTTAACATCAGGAACCAGGCCTTCCTTGTGGAAAAGAGTTTGCCCCCAGAGCTTTCATTTCAAAAACTTAAGCCCGAGCTGCAGCTTTCTGGGCAGAAAGGGAAAGTGTTGGTGTCCTAGAGGCAAAGCAGGAGATGCAACCCGGAAGTGTGTGCGTGGGCTGAGAGTTGGCAGGGCTGTCCCCACTACCACCCACCAGGAGACTTCCTGTGCAACGGTGAATTTACTAGCAACAGACACTTTCTGTGCAAATACAAATCGCAGCTTGAGAGGGGCGATTTTTGCCAGGAGTTAACTCCCCCTGACCCCACAGGCCTGAGGCTCTCAGGCTTCCCCCTAAATTAGCAAAGGCCAAAAAAACCATTCCAGTGCAGTTGCAAAAGACTTCCCATGCATCCACGGCAGCAGGAAGGCAGAGCCTGTTTGGCAGAAGTGGAATAGCCCAGGAAGAAACCCTAGAGCAGCCCCGGGGAGGCAACTGAAGGAGGCCTCGCGGCGGCATGCTCTCACCTGCCGTTTCTGTGTTGGGAGTGCTCGGCTCCTTTTCCCTGGGCTGGCTCCCCTCTGACGTGTGGGGAGAGGATGCAAGGGAGGAGGCTGCTGAGCCATCTCCTTTGGAATCGCCCGGCGGCTGCAGAGATAGGAGAGGTTAGGATGGCTCTTGCCAGCTTCCCACCTGTCATCGTTCCATCTTTCCTGTACGACACAACCCTAAAAGATCCAGGGACCCCCATGAGAAAAGGTCACCGTGTTTGGGGCTTTTTAGCCTGGGGAGGGAAGGACAAGAAAGAGCGGCAGGAACACATGAGGGCTGGAGAAAATGGATAGGGAGACACATCGCTCTTTTTCTCACGGTACTAGAACCCACAGGGCCATGCTATAAATCTCAGTGATGGGAGATCATTCACATGGGAGATCATTCAGGACAGACACAAAAAGGCACACATTCACACAACGCATGGTTCAGTTATGGAATGCTCTATCACAAACTGAACTGATGGCCTCCGGGTGGACGTGTTGAAGAGACACATTCCCAGGAGACGAGGCCATGGACTGTTGCTAGTCGTGAGGGCTGTATGCCACCTTGAATATCTGACAGGTATGGCTGCATGACAGGTGTGCCTGTGCGCACAGCCCTGGGACTCAGCCCACAGCCAGCACCTGCAGAAGCAGCTCCCTCAGGCGATGCAACTGAGATTCCAGCTGCTTGTTGTGGTCCTCCAAGATCTGCATCCGAGTCTCCAGGCGACTTTTGTGCTGCCGAAGGATCCGGGCCTCTGCCAGGAGCTCTTCGCTGTGCGGATCCTGTGCTGCGTCAGCGGTTCCTTCTGCTGATGCCGCTGCCTCCTCGTGCTGCCACTTCAGACGTCTCAGCTCTCCCTGGAGAACCCTGCAGAAACATTCCTGGATGAAGATGAAGCCAGAATCTGCCAAGACCGAGTGCTTCACCGATACTCATGACTGATGAGCATCAGAAGTGCTCACAGTTCCCAGCAGAAATTTTGTAGTTCAGTCACTGAAGGGATGCAAGAGCTCAGACTCGCACACCTGGGCACCCAGTTCGGCTCCCTAAAAGGTTATACCCCCTTCCCTCAACCATCCATTGATTGGTGGTTTCTAGACTTTTGCACTGTCTCCCAACCAAACAACAAGGTTCAGATGCTTCTTCTAAGGCTTAGCTACTGGCACTCAATGCTTCAGGTTAAACTATGCTGGTCTTTTGACCTCGCCCCTTTTGATTTCAGTAGCTCTTGCAAAATTCCCAAAATCGGATTTTTTTCTCCAGGCTGAGAGAGAGTTAACAGCCCTGATTTATCAGAAGAAATTCCCAACTGCAATTATTATTAAATCAAATCATAATCGCATTAACAAATGCAGCCACTGTTAAGGAAATTCTGTGCCTTTTACACCTCAAGATTTCAGAGGTCTTCTCTCGCTCCTTGCAAAGGCAGATCTGGAACAGTGAGCACGGTGGGAACCCGATCAGTCACACGCATTTACCTGTTTTCATCTTCCAGGTGAGCCAAGATTCTCTCCAGCTTCCCCTTATCATCCGTGTCCTTGCCGTCCTGGTCCTGCTGGCTGCTGATGGGTTCTCGGTCTGTGATGGGGCTGGAATGGCGCAAGAGATACTGGTCCTCGTCCCTGTTGCGGATAGAGCTGCGATGAGGTTGAGCCAGTGGAAAGAGATGTGACAGAGAGGTAAGGCATGAGGCGAGCTGCTGGAGTCCCTCCCAGGAAGATGACTTTGCAGCAGTGGTCTGCATTTGTTTTGACCCGGTGGACACACTGGGGATGCTGACGAAGTATCGTGGGCACTTTCTCAAAGTGGTTGCCACGGGGCTAGGGCATGCCCATTCATGAAATGACTGCCATGGTGGAGCTGGCGGGTCACAGCACTGTCACTTCCAAGACTGAAAGAAAAATGACCTGCCCAAGGAGCCAAGCGCGAGGCAGAGGTTCGGCAGGTGCCCAGAATGAAAAATCATTATGATGCTGAGGACAGTCCTTTGCATTGCAGCATGCCTGTCCCCCATCAGCATCATCATCAGCAGCAGCATCCCATTTTAAACATATTAATTAATTTAAAGAGACAGTGTGAAAAAACAAAACAAGACACCAGCAGAGTCTGGTGGATGCCAAGAGCAGTGCCCTTGCCTGGAGCGTCGAGGCAGCCGAGCTGGCACTAGCGTCTTGGCTCCTTGGGCAAAGACAGTGCTGGTTGGTCTTCCTGCTCCAGAGCACCAGGCAGCACCAGGCAGCAAGGCCGAGCTGCCATTTTAATTTCCCAGCATGCCCCTGTGCAGTTTTGCTCTGCAGCACTGTGGGAAGTAAAAGCGGCAGCTGCCCAGGGCCACTCAGAGCCTGCCACAAACGGGAGAGCCCTGAACAGACGGCAAGTATGCCCCGGAGATGACCTTGCTCAGAGTCCCCTCCGTCCTCCGCGCGGCCCAGCAAGGAGGGCGTCTCAGTTCTGCAGGGCCTCTGCCCCTTCTTTCTTGTTCCACTACTTCGGCACTTTGATCTGGTCTCCACTTTTCCTTTCGCTGTTGCACGTACACCCCTGTGGCAGCCAGTGTGAGAAACGAGTGTGCGTGCAGGGGCCGGTTGCTGGGGAAACAGCCCGTCAGCTGGGGGCTGGCCTCCCTCCCGTTGCCTCTAAGTAGCACTGATGCAGATGGGACAAGCATCCTCCACTGCAGAGAGAAAATCTCAGTATGCCGGAAAAAGCGTGGCTGTGAAATGAGGCATAATATCCCATCTTCTGTCGGCTGCGCTCTACGGCATTCTAAGCAATGCCTCGGAAAGCCCATGTTCCTCCATAAGAGCATCCCTTCTCTTGGTCCCGGGCTCCAAAACTCCCTGCTTTGGGAGACCAGGTGGCTCCCTCTTTAGGCAGAAAGGTAAAAGCATTCTTGTTTCGACAGGCTTGGGCTTGTACAAGGCCTGTAGCAGGAGGAGGTCCTGGAGGATTCAGTATTATTTCTTGTTACATTTTTAGATACACTTTTAACTTGCTTGTTGCAATGATTGTTTCAGTTTTTGGAAAAAATTCTTGGTCTTATTACTTAGCCACTGAGTATCCCTTTGATGAAAAGCCAGATTGTCAATCACATGCATAAACAACGAGCCAGCGTGCCTCTGAAACAGCCTCTTGCATTCGCAAGTGGGAGAAGCTAGACAGCGGGGACTTGCATGCTGCCTTCCTGCTCAGCCACGGGAAAATTTTGGAGTGGTGCAGCAATGCCCCTGTGGAACCCTCTTCTGCCGAAGCGAAGAAGGGCAGCCTTTTCCAGCCTCCAGAAGTGCTGGGATGCGGTTTCAGGAGCAGTCAAACAGCCACAGATTCAGTCCCACTGAATGCAAATGCTTATGACTGCACTGGCTCAAAGGGGTCTCTGATTATGTGGCAAGGGCAAGAGGCATCTGGATTTTGACAGAAATGTAGTCAAGAGAGAGAGAGTGAAAGAGAGAGAAGTAGCAACTCACAGGCTATCATCTGGAGAGAGACTGTCATTGTAGAAGGAGGAATTCTGGCTTTCCATCTCTGCAAGCCTGCATGAAACAGAACAGGACACATGAACTGATGTGGAAGGACAAGAAAATTTCTGCCCTGTTTCCCCGAAAATAAGACCTAACCAGAAAATAAGCCCTATCATGTTTTTTCCGAATGCTTGCAATATAAACCCTATCCCCCCACCCAAAAGTCCCAGTTAAGATTGTCAGCCAGAGGTGCATTCAGTACATCTGTCGCAACACAATTCGGGGTTTGGAGAGTTATGACAATGTTTCAGAAGAAGATAGCATGACTGTGTTTGAATAAATGTAGATTTTTGTACATGAATAAATGAATAAATGTAGATTGTTGTACATGAAAAAATAAGACATCACCTGGAAATAACCACTAATGCATCTTTTGGAGCAAAAATTAATATAAGACCTGGTATTATTTTTGGGGAAACATGGTAATAGCTGCATGCACACGTGTGTGCGTGCACACACACACACATACTATATTGGTGAAAGAAAAGCAGCCAGTCTCTTGAGCATAGGAAATTCCAGGTATGTGACCGAGCGTGTAAATGTTCCCCTGCTCCACCGGACTCTGGCAGGAGTCTGCCAGCAGCATTTGGATGACGCTACCAGCTGCTCTCCTGGTTGGCCCCCACGTGTGGGATGCAGGTGCCTGTTTTCCCTGAACAAAAAGGCTCTGTTTTGCTGGCATGGAAAAAAATGTTCCTCTGGGAATTTGGGCTTCCCGTTCTTAAAGGGAGCACCATTCTTCTTCAGAGTGGCTGTGGTGATGCTGGAGAAGGAAGAGGGACACAGGGAGCGGCCTTGCACCGAGCCAGCTTTTCTGCACTGCTGTATCTGTTGGCAGTGATACGCCGGGACTCCAGGCAGGTTGAACCCGGAGCCCTCTGCATGCAGAATGGGTGCTCCACCCCTGAACTACGGACCTTCCAAAGGGCTGGAAAGGTGAATGTAATCGCCTGCCTCTCCGCTGCTTGGCACGTTCGCCACACAATCTGCATCCACTGCACCCATCTTGCCACCTCTTCCCTGCACAACCCACCATCTTTGGCCTGATCCCAAAGGTACCTGCTGGCGAAGTGCTCGATTCGAGAGTGGGTGTCCGCATGAGGCAACATCGGAGAGGAGGCCGGCCTGGAAGGGACACAAAGAAGTCAAGAAGGATTCACGGGGAACATTCACAGCAGCTACCCGGGAGGGATCAACAACATGGCATCGATGTCGTTCACACAGAGATGTGCTGGACGTGAGAATACTCTCTGCCGGCTCACTCCAACCTGGTCCCCTCTGCCCAGGCAGCTTGGACTTCAGCTCCCATCAACCCCTTTGGCTAGCACGAATGTCAGGAACCCTGAGACTAGCAGGCCAAACTGTCTGGAAGGTACCAGGTTGGGGAAGAATATACTACATTGGGCTACTGTGATCCCCAGCACAGGGTGGTAGGAAGACCATTTGTCTGTCTTGCCTAGTGGGGAAACTTCAGGACTAGGGGCCAGATCCAGCCCCATGGGGTTCCCCTTCCCAGACCCCATGCCCTCTCCTTCAACCACTAATTGTTTGGTGGGTTCCTACCTTTTATTCTGTTTGTACCACAAGATAGAACACCTCACTTAAGGCCTATTTTTCTAGAGCAGGCTAAAATATGCAGAGCTTCTCCAAAATGGAATTTGACCCTTGGGCTGGAAGAGGACCATGGACCTGTCCACCAGGAATAGCAGTGTTCTCCAGGTCTCAGGCCAAGCGGGGGGGGGGGGGGGTGTCCTTCTCATCACCTGCTATCAGACCCTTTTAAAAACTAGAATCGAGCCTGAAATCGCCTGCATGCAAAGCTTGGGCTCTGCCACCTTCCCCAATCCAGGTTCCTTTGCACTGGGGGACAGATGGCACCTTTCTTGTTAAGCAAGTGAAGCTCGTGCAAGTGAGCTTTAGAATTGTCACCTATAACTGGAAACGGGTCAGGTATTCCTCTAAGATGACCCACTCCAGGATACCATCCCCACCGATAGAATGCTTACCGTATATAGCAGCATATAAGGTGACTCTTGAACCAAAAATAGCGAAGCAAAAATTGGGGGTCATCCTATACAGCCGGCATAGAGAAACAACCCAAAATACTGCCCTCATCTTATATGCAAGTTGCCTTACACACCAATACAGATGGATATTTTTCTGAAACTGAAAACAGTGAGGCAAAAGTTGGGGGGGGGGTCATCTTATATGCCCAACAAGTGACAAAGAAAACAGCCCAAAGTATCGGCCTCATCTTACCTGTGAATTGCCTTATATGCTGGTATATATGGTATTTGTTTCCCCAGATCCTCTGTGCTCCTCTTCTCTCTTAGCCCATTTCATCTCACTCCCCAGGAGGCACCACAGAGCATCCATAGCAGAGGACCCACGACTCACGTGTCTATGAAGTCTGCCTCCAGCACAGACTGGACGGGCAGGTACCCTCTCTGGGGATGCTTGCTGAAATACTGCTTTGTCCGGAACTTGTTTTTCAGGGTGGTGGCAAAGTCCCTCATGTTCTCGCTAGAGGTGGTCTGTGCAGAGACGGACAAGAGACTAAGAACATGCAAGAAATACTTTGCAGAAGGTGCGTCCTGAAGTGAATCTGGTCTAGCATATTGTTCTAACAGAGGACAGCCTGATGCTTCCACAAAGGCCACGCCCAGGCTAGAAAGCCAACCAGGTTGCCCCCTGCAGCACATATCTAGAGATATACTGCTCCTGGACATGGAGGGACTGTTGAGCAATTGTGGTTAAGAGTCACTGGGAGGCCTGAATTGGTGGTTTTCATGAGCGGGAGTTCCTCAGCGTTGCTTTTGTGGTCTCACCAGCTGCCTACCTGCTCAGGTCTCAGTGTGCAGGGGTGGGGCGTTTAATCCTACCTATCATGGCTGCTGAGATGGGCCACCGTGGGGTGGGGAAGCTGGCATCTTCCCCTCTCCCTCTGGCACCACATGCATGAGTGCTGCTTCTTCTGTGACCTCAGCAGCACCAAGATTCCCGGGTGTGTGAGAGGCCTCCCCTCCCGCCCAGAATCTGGATCAAAAAGGCCTCTCTGCCCATCAGCAATCCCCTCTGAGACGGATGCTTCCAGGCAGTGCCGGGGTCACACAGAGGTGCTCCGGGGCTCTGCTGGGAATGGCCGTTCTGAAGGCATTTCCCCCGTGGCCGAAACTGCGTGGGGGGGGGCGGCGGCAGAGGAACAGGATGAGGCTCTTTGGGCAGCACAGAGAGTTTTATTGGGGTTGCCCGCTCGTGCAAAAGCTTCCGGGCTGGCTACTCAAGCAGCCCAAATGGCCTCCGCTGGCCAGCGCCACTGGATTCAGGCAGCTCTTTCAAGCAACACCCTCCCTTTCTTACCGGCGTGTAGTACTCCATGATAGGATAATGCAGCTTGTTGCCCTTGCTGGCTCGCCCCGTCAAGAAGCAGGTCTGGCAAATGTCCACGTTGAATTGCTTCAGGCTGCGGTACCTGGAACAGCGAGAGGCAGCCAGGGCTGCTTCAGACAATGTGATCGATCCGTGGAAGCAACAGAAAATGCTTTTGATGGAGGGCACCCACTGTGGGGGAAGGCTGAGTCTGGGTGTAGGATGAGGGATGTAGGCAAGGGACATCCATAGCTCAGTCCTGTTGCATGTATAAGCAGACTCTCTGCATGCAGAAGGTCCCAGTTCAACCCCCAGCATCTCCAAGCAGGGCTGGGAAAGAATCTCGCCTGACTTGCTGGACAGCCACTGCTGCCAGTCAGAGCAGGCAACATCAAGTTAGATAAGGCAGCTTCCAAAAGCTCTGGCTTGAGAGGGAGTGTCCATATATTATTGGAAGAGCACCCACTTTTTATGCAGAAAGACCCTGCTTCGATCTCCAGGCAGGGCACAGAAAAGTCCTGCTTGTAACCTTGGAGAGCTGCTGCCAGTCAGTGCCAACAACACTGGGCTACATGGACTTGTGGTCTGACTCTGTATAAGCCACTTCCTGTGTAGTTCTGTTGTGCGTTCCAGTGCTGCACAGTTGTTTCTTTTTTAAATTAAGGAACTGGCCTAGAGGTGGTGAGGGCTGAACCAGACCGGGTCGGTGCATGGCTGTGGGGAGATGCTTTGGCCCCCTCGTGCTCTTCTGTGCTTGGTATGCACAATGGGAGAGATCTGCAGGCAGCAAGCATGTAGTACAATCAACTCAGTGCAGGATCCTGGTCAGTCCAAATGCCCTTCTAAAGGTAAAGGTTACCCCTGTGCACGCGTGCTCGTCTAGGGGTGGTGCTCATCTCCGTTTCTAAGCCAAAGAGCCAGCATTGTCCAAAGACATTTCTGTGGACATGTGGCGGCATCACTAGATGCTTTTGCGCATGGAACGCTGCTGCCTTCCCACTGAAGTGGTAGCTATTTATCTACTTGGATTTGCATGCTTTCAAACTGCTAGGTTGGCAGGAGCTGGGGCAAGGAACAGGTGATTGATTTGATCTGCCAAACTGCTGAACTGGTCAACAAGCTCAGCATCTTACCTGCTGAGCCACCGCCCCCTAAATGCCTCTCTAGACCACCCTAATTGTGAAGAAGCTCAGTCTTTGTCTGCTGAGCACACCATTCAGCCTTTTAAACATACACAACACCCATCCAGTGCCAGCTACGTGGCCAATGTCATGCGCAGTTTGGCACTCAGAGAGCCGATTTCTTACCACCAAGGGGATGATGCACAGAAAGTCCTACATCTCCGGCCTTCCCTCAAGAGCATGCTGAAACTTGAAGGAATTTTTCTCCATCTCCTTGGTGACTGACAGGAAGCACTTTCTGCTAAAATCCACTGGTGACTTGCTCCGCCCTCTTGATTTTTGGGGGGCTACCCACCCTGGAATGAGGCCCTCTGGTAGCTTTTCTGAAATGGGATCCAGGTATTGGCAGTCTCTCCCCACAGTTGGGGGGCTGCGTGGAAGAGGAGTGAGCCCTGACACAGAGGGCTCTGAAGTGTACTCCCAGATCTTGCAGGGAGCCGTGTCCCAGAAGCAGCGTGTGAGCCGGAGCCTGCATCCCTTCGGCCTGTGATTTCTTCTGTCGCCACCCTAACAGACTGCCCCAGCATCCGTACCTGAAGCCTTTGATCGGACATTGCCGGCAGACGGAGCATTTGGTCTGGTGTTTTACTTGCTCAGCTATGGTCACCCGGTGCAAGACGGCCAGCCACACCATGGACTGCGGCTCCAGGTTAGCCCATTCCAAGAACTGGGCTGCCTCGATCGTCGGTTTCCCATTTCCCTAGAGAGGAAGAGACAGGAGGCAAGGCAGCAGCTGACCACCACCTGGGAGGATGAACCGCAGCGCTGTTACACACTCTCTCCTTTCAAAACTGGTACTTTGTTCTACTGGCTTCCTAGCTTGAGAATTGTTTAGTTGCATTAAAATGATTTCACAAATGAAAATAGTTTCAAGTAACATAGGGTATATGCATGTTTTTCTGCACATTGTTTCTATAATCAAATCAAATTCAATCAAATTTTCAGAGTGATTTCCATAAGTGGAAAATATATAGAAAAATATATTTGACGTGAACTGCTTTGATGATCTGGTAGGACTATTCGTCTATAAGATCAAGCAATCCATCAATATAGCAAAACAGTTAAATTTACAAGTATCAATATCATCTTTAGAAAAATGATAGCAGCAGATCGCAAAGCCACATAAAAAACAAAATATCAAAATGAGGACCAAAACACTTTGTAAAATTGAGGTGGTTTATGTCTGGCATCAAAACAACAACAACATGGATGCCCACAGAACCTCTTCAGAGAGACCATTTTGTAGCTTGCATTGCCACTGTCCCTGGAAGCCACCAACCTCATCTGAGAAAGCAAGGGTGAACTGCAGAAGGCTCCCCCTGATGACCTTACGGGTCCTACAGATGCCCTGATCCTGAGCTTAGATCAAATCAAGATACTTGTATTTGGGGATATGCGACCACAGGAATCTGTAGGCCACTGGTGATGGGACAGTTCAGCGATGGATGCTTGCAGGTGAAACAGTGGGATTGCCAGGAGAGCCCCAAATAGGTTTCTCATATGCTATGGCGACAAATGTTTTGGCTGTGACGGCTGTAAGGGGTGTTTCTCAGTGCTTAACTGACTGGGGCTGCTGGCCCACGGGGCACAATCCTGCGCAAATGTGCGCGTGCTGATTTATATCTATATGTGCACATTCCTGGGATTCTCAATTCCTTCAAATTACACTGGTCAAAGCTGGCCAAGTAAATTCTCATCCCAGTAACTCCAAAATAAATGCATTCCTCGACATTAATTTGCACCGTCTCCAATCATTCCAAAACAGCCGGAAAAGTTTTAATTACTCAAGAGAAATTGGAGCAGAAATGGGGTACTTCTGCTCCAGGTGGGGAGGGGAGAATTAACCCTTTCCTCTCAAGTACAAATGTCCCTTTTTTTTGCACATTTTTATTAAGATTTTAAACTAAAAAACTAAAAAATGATCAATCACCAAATACATCGGACGTACTGGGTCAGCCCCCATAACATAACTTTTTAACATTCTATAATCATATTCAAATTGATTTATAAAAATTTAAAGACATCTTTAAATCTAAGCCAAGTCCCGTTTCTCCAGCCAGTCGTAAAAAAGGTCCCAAGTTTGGTAGAAGTCAGTATCTTCTTTCTCCTTCAATAACAGAGTCAATCTGTCAAGTACGAATGTCCCTTAAATATTGTCCCTTCATGGCAATTTAAGCTAAGAAACAAAAACCCCTTTCAAGCGGACAATACCTGGGGCTCTGAGGAATTGCTCTGGGATGGAGGGTCGGAGCCCCATGGACCCAAGACGAGCAATGTCCCCAGGTTAGGCACAACATGAGCAGAGGGTCTTGGCTGCAAAGCAAGGACCCACCCATGTGGCTTCCAGTGGTCACTGAAGCAGCGTGGATGCGGCCATGGATAAGCCACCCCAAGCCACTGCATCCGATGCCCCGAGGGAAGAGCAGGTGAAAAGTGTCAGAGGAGCAGTGCTGGATCAGGCCAAGGGTCCAGTCCTGCATTCTGCTCACAGAGTGGTCACTCTGCGGCCTGTGGGAATCCGCCCCCAAATATTGTCTAGCCTTGTCTTAAAGCAATCCATATTCATGGCCTTTGCTACATCTTCTAGATGGTAATTCCAGTTTCACCAGGTGCTGCATAAAGGGGCACTGCCTTTATCAGTCTTGAATCTCTCACCACCGGTCAGCTTCATGGAATGACTGGGGGAGTTATAGTATCATGGGAGAAGCAAGGAAGTGTCCTTACCCAATTTTTCTTCTTCATCATCTACAATGTGCTACACCTCTATCATGTTTCCCCTCACACAGCATTTTCCAAAGCTAAACAATCCCAGATGTTGCAATCTTTACTCAAGAGGAGCTGATCCTGCCCCTCGCTAATTTTAACCGCTCTCTTCTGGCCTTTTCCTCACTCTACGGTATCATTTTTAGGATGCTGGCACGTTCTGAGGTCGCCTGGCACAGCTTCCTCAGACTGAAGGATTTTTCCTGGAAGGTCCGCGCAGGCGCATTGCTGTCAATGTCACTTACGAAGCGGAAGCAGCTGCGGACACTGGGTTCCACGTTGCTCCCGCCAAAGGCGGCCACTTCCCCCAGCTGCCGCGGAACCTGGATGGCCTCATGCAGCAGGATGCCAAGGTGCCGCTGGTCACAGAGTCCATTCACATTGGCCACCTGGCTGAAGAGGTCTGGGGGAAGAGCACAGTGGATGGGGAGAGACAAAGCACAGCTTTTCATAGAGCTATCAAAAATGCAGGACTTTATTTATTTAAGGCTCTTATAGACCGTCCATCTACTGGCATCTTGGGATGGTTTACAACAAAACAACAGATAAAGTAGGGCACAGCATCCAGTAATTCAATAATATAAAAACCACATTAAAATGGATTAAATATTAAAATAATGGGAAAAGAAAAAAGTGTCAGCGCCAGGCAAACCTCTCTGGGGAATGAACAATCATCTGTGGAAAGAGGCAAGCATGGGAGGGAGGGAGGGTGGGGGGAGGAGGTAGGCAGGCATCATTCTTAAACAGCAGGCTGGAAATGGCATATTTAATTTTAGTTTAATAGGTTCCCACTTTCATGGGGATTTTGGATTGGTGGGAAGGGGGTAGGATAACTTGCAGAGAATTCTCTGGGCCAAAAAAGACACTACTTCAAATCTGCATCTAGAAGCTGCATATTTTGTTCCTCTGTCCTCCAGAGCAGAGGTGAACCATCCTGTATGGATCTTAAAATCCCTACTGCCCACAATCACAGCCCAAATCCATCACCAAACCAGAGGGCAATGAATTGTACAATATTTGCATATGGCAATTTCCACACACAGATTCAAATTTAGAAATAATGGCTATATTTAAAGGGAATACAGCCCAGCATAATGGGGAAGGCTCTGATTGGCTGACATGTTTGCCTCTGTTCAAGTCCTCTTTTGGGTACTTTTCTTAGGGTTCTTTATTTGCAAATTTTATTCATCAAGTCTTCTATCTGACACGTCCAAACAGAAGAGAGTTGTCTGTAAAAGTGGGACACCCAGCCAGGACACAAACAAATGCGCTGGGTTGCAGATACTGCTTCCCCCTTCCTCTCTCCAGCCTTGCTAATTCTGTGAACCTCCCCTGGTCGATTTGAGCAACCATCTCCCCCAGCTGACTCACACTGGAATTTCTCTTTCACCTCAGTACCACACAGGCATGCGATGCCCGTCTTGAAGGAGAGAGCCCGCATCTTCCCACTGCGTCCGCTGAAAGGCAAAAATCACAGGGTGAAAAACAGACCCCTTCCTTCTTGGTTCACAGACACTCCATTTCAGAGCAGCATGGAAATCTTTCCTGCAAATGTTGCAGATAGAATGAACCCCGCTGGGCGTTACAGTAGGCCTGTGCCACTGGGGATCTGAGCTGGAGGCTGTCCAGCTTATATGCCAAAGACTTGCCTGAATAAAATCTTATCTGCCCACTGGTGGAAGGACAAGGAAAAGGAGGAAACAGTGCTCTTTGGCAGAGAATTCCTAGTGATCTTTGGCAACTACAGGAGCCTGGCGAGGTGGCTTTCCAGCTTCTGCTGAAAGGTCTCCAGTGCAGAAGAGCCCACTGCCTCCTTGCCAGCTGTCACAGCTAGGAAGATTCCCCTCCACCCAATGGTTCTAAGCTTGTCCTCAGGAACAAGAGAGAACAAGCCTGAAGATGCAGCTCCAAAGGCACAACTTTTAAGGCTGTCTTCTTGTGGATTTCAGAGGTAGGCTTGTCCATCATTCTCTGCTTGTGAACTCCCTGAATAGCCTTCCCCAGCTGGGTGCTCTCCAGATGCTTGGACTACAGCTGCCACCACTCCTGGGCATTTGCAGAGGCTGATGAGAGCTGAAGTGCAAAGCATCCCTAGTGCACAAGGCTACCCTAAAGTCAACTACAGTCAGAAACAGAGAATGTGTTAGCTGGGACCGGCCTATGATAGGAAGCATCTGATACTTTAATGTTGGTAAAATGTATATATTATCCAAATGGCAAATACCTCTGGGTGGTTTATGTCATGAAACACACAAAACCAAACCACAAAAATAGCAAAACAACCACCAAAACAATACCTGCAACAACAAAATCAATATATAAACCACCAAAACCGTAAAAACATTATGAGTATGGATATTAACAAGCCAGCAACAAAGTTGATAATTGAAGCAGCAGAAGAATGAGTAAGTGCCCGACGGAAGGCCTTCACCTGCCATCTAAATGCACACGGCGAAGGTGCTGAGCTTCTCTCCCGGGAAAGGGCAACCCACAGAGAGGGGCCCCCTAGAAAGAAGGCTCCTTTCGGTAGCCTCCCTTTGCATCCCACGGCAATACCCAGTGACGAGGCTCCAAAGAATCTGGCAGTAATCCCTGCTGGAGCTTACAGGTAGGGGTGCCTGTACAGGTACCTGTCAAAAACGTTGAGCAGCCAGTTCAGGGTCATGTCAACACACAGGGGGACGTTCACCAGGATGCCCCGCTCCTCTTCGAGCCGCTCGTACAGGGCAGTCAGGCAGTGGATCACCTCCACCACGTCCATCACGTGGTCGCTGGGCTGCAGCTCGTGCTCATTGAAGACCTCCAGGGCGGTTGGCAGTGTCACCATGTCCACTGTGCAGCCCGGAGATGCAGGAGGCCAAAACCAGAAGCAGAGCATGAAAAGAAAGAATCGCTTCAGATGCATCCCGAGAAACCAGGCGGCTTTTTCTTTCTTTGCTTTTGCTGTGATCTTGATTAAGTTGCAAAAGGCATGGACCCTTAGAAGCAGGCATGCAGGGCAGGGCAGGGCAGGGCAGGGGAAAATGGTGCCTTCTGTGCCAGTTGGTGGAGAAAGAGGGGCATCCCAATCGGTTCCACAGGCATCAAACTTCTATTTCATTAGAAAAATGGTTCTAGGGAAGAGGATGCTGCATTTGGCAAACACGGGTGCCTTCAGGTGTGGCTTTTATTGCCCAACCTTGTCTCATTTGCAGAACTTCGGAGGCAGAGGGAGAGCTCCTGACAAGGACCTCTTCCTTTTACAGTCTTCCTCTATTTCCCCATCATTTCTTCATCTTTTTAATTACCAAAGTATCTGTTACAGGCAAGGTGCAGAAGGACTTTCAGGCAGGGGTAGGAAGAGCCAAGGACTAACGGGCCAAGAGGCAAAAGAGCCAGCATGTTCCAGCTTCAAGTTCTTCCTGCCAGTAACTATGCCTTGGGGGAGGCATTTTAACCTTCTAGAATGGGGAAAACTGCGCAAGAGCCCGAATCCACCAAGCCCACACGTGGCCTCTTCTGCACCCCTGTGCTAAGAAGAGAAAGACAGCATAGAACACAGTGTGCTGGGATTAGGAGCACCGGAAGCCGTCCACCTGGGCGCACCCGGTGTTCCTAATTGCTTCTGGAGGTGACCTGGCAGTGCCTGGGAAATGGCCTCCTACAGAGGTCAAAGGAGCGCCACAGGCTTCCTCCTCAGTGCCACTGCCCTGCATAAAAATCTCAACACTAACTGAGAACCACCAGACATACCGAGGTAGCGCTCCCCACCCTGCAGCTATCCAGATGTTTGGACTTGGAGCCCTATGAAGTGCAGCCGGCATGTCCCGACCTCAGAGATTCTAGGAGCTGTAGGGCTCCAGGTTGGGGAAGGCTGATCTTCATCATGGGATGAAGCTGCCTCGCTCACCTAGGACTCTCCTCCATGACGCTACACAGCAACCGAAATAAATCCCCAGGTGTGTTGGATTACAACCCCCAGCATGCCCTCACCACGGGGCATGCTGGAAGCTGCAGTCCAACATATCTGGGAGGCACCGGTCTGGGGAGGCTGATGCGTGTTTCCAGTCCGAAAATGGTGCAAACGGGCCCTCCTTATTTCCAGACATGAGTCAATGTTACTGCTTAGCAGGGGGCCAGGAAAGAGCCCGGGACTCACATCGCAAGGCCTTCTGCACACGGCGCAGTTTCATGGCTGTGCGGTAAGCAGAGAACTTGATGTTGTTCAGGTCAGCTGGGGAGAAATGAAAGAACAGAATCATTGCCTGTATAGCAGGGACTTAAACCATTGCTCCCTCCAGATGTTGTTGGCAGACAGCTCCCATTGTCCCTGAGCATTAGCCCTTCTGGCTGGGTATGGTGTGAGCTGGTCTTAAGCATCCCGGGAGAGGCAGGTTCCCCATCCACGCTTTTACCCCCCTCGCCCCCTGCAAACATTAAGTGGAATTATCTCCCTGGGATAGTCTGCCAAACCACCTTCCCCTTTTATCTGGACAGGCGCTGAACTTCCATTTCTACAGATGTGCCCGTGTTGCTTTTCACCCTTTTTATGCTGGCTGCATGGATTTTTCTGCTGCTGTGTGTTGGCTGTTCTGTGCTGCAGGAACCTGGACAGGTACGGAGCATTTCTCACCTAGTGTCTGATACAACTCGGTCATCTTGGGATGGTCCCAGCATGTTGTCTGTGCCTGGTGGCTGGAGAAACGAACCAGAGGTGGGAAGAATTAAGCAGAAGGTAGCTGCACATAGTCATAGGCTTACACACACACAACATTGCACAGTTTAAGAGTCTAAGGAATAAATACACCTATTATTACATCTGTTGGACTTGTGTACAGTTGGCAGTTTCCCCCATTACATCTTATTAAGACTTGGAGGATGGGGGAAATGGTGTCCAGGAAAATTCCACAAGTCCCGTGATACACAGAGTATGGGAAGGGGCAACTGTTCAAATTTCAGTTAAGTGCAGAAAGTGAACGACAGCAAAGATGAGAGAGCAGGCAAGAAATAAAAGCAATACAAAGGTCCCAAAAGGCTTGGGAACCCTGGACTCCTCCAGTGTCCCATGGGGAACATGATTGCAACAGGAGAGGATGTAGGTAAGAAAGGTAGATATTGGCAAGAGAATGCAGGAGTGCCAACATTATTTATTTATTTATTTATTTATTTATTTATTTATTTTTCGATTTATATCCTGCCTTTTTCCTACAAAGGGCTCAAGGCAGCTTACATCTCCTCCTCCATCTTATCCCCACAACAACAACCCTGTGAGGTAGGTTGGGCTGAGAGTCGGTGACTGGCCCAAAGTCACCCAGTTGGCTCCATGGATGGGCAGGACAAGAGGGGAAGGACATGCAACCGGTTACTCACTTGATGTAGTATGGGACTTTATTGGGAGAAATTGCCCGTTCCCAGGGGACCTGGACAGAAGCTGCAGGGGAGAAACAGAAGGGAGACTCCTGGAAGTACAGGCTGGTTTGTATCTCCTAGACAATGCACCTGTTGCTGTTTTACCAGCAGCAGCTCTTTGTCCCCAATCCTTGACCCTGGAAAAATCAATGCCTATATTTTCCTCCCAACTGTGCGGAATATCTTGTTAGCATTTGGGCATATGAGTTGCAATTCTGCAAGAATCAGTGCCAAGCAGGCCTGAATGTGCCTGCATCTTGCACGCCAAGCACATGCATGTGAACACACGTGCATGAATCTTTATGCACTGTGCAATGCTCAGCCTGCCATTTCTCACATTGCTGAGATATGTCTGAGCCGGTGATAACAGGATATCACTGGTGGGTTTTGAGTACGCTTTGCCCAAACCATTTTCTTGGTTTCAGTTCAATGGATCAGCCTTCCCCAGCCTAGTGCCTTGCAGAGCTGTCGGCCTGCACCTCTCATCATGCTTAGTCAGTATGGCTACTGTGCTGGCTGAGGATGGTAGGAGTTGTAGTCCAATCATACTGCAGGGCACAATACAGGCAAGCACTGTAGCTATTGCATGAACACAAGATACTAGATAATATCAAATTATGGAATTTGTTTTCACCCCACGTCGCCATCCTGGATTCCTTTAAGAGGGGGATAGACCAATGATGGAGGATATCAAGGGCTGCTAGTCATGGTGGCCACATATCTGTTCAGCTGGGTTTTGAGGCGGGGGGGGGGGTCATTCAGGGGTTTTGTTTTTGTTTTTATTTCTGGAGTCTGTGGCTCAGCCATGTGGATGCCTCCCCTCTTGCATAGGAGTGGTGCCCTTTCCACGACACAAGCCTTACCACCGCAGCCCAAGCATCAGAAATAGAGGAGATGCTCAGCATTTCTCTACTTTCCATGAAGACGCCTTCATGGAAAGGTGTCTTCCATGACCTGTGGTTCTGTTCCTATGACTTTCTGCACAGATGCAGCACAACACACAGGGATGAGTACCAGCTTGCCGACAGGGTGGGACTACATTTTGGAAGCGGGGGAGCTCATAGAAGTCATAGTGCTTCTGCCCATAGAACAACAGGGAATAGTGAGGGCTACATCCCCCCCCCCCCCCCCAGTGAGCTTGAGTGTGTTCTGTCTTATGTCGGGGAGACTTTTTTAAAAATGTGGGCGACTGTTCAAAACGACCCCTCCCATCCTGTGTTTGATGACGGAATCTTATCATCGCATCTGGCTGCATGTTCGGACACGGCCTGGAAAGCACCCGGCGGTCCCTTTAGATAGAAATATCATTCACGTACTTGAGAGGAAGTGCTGTGATCCTGGCCCAAAGTCCCGGTGGGCATCCTGAAGGTGCTTCAGCCGATCGTTGACGGATACCTAGGCAGAGTGTGGAGCCATCAAACTACGTGGGGGGAGCTGGACAAGCTGCATGTCAGGCTGTGTGGCATTCCTGATTGTGGGTGTGAGGACCCGAGTGTCATTGTGCAGGCAGTGAGAACGAGTTGCTGCAGCACTGAATGTCACACCTACAACTTAAGGTGCTGCTCGGTACAATATTTGCACCAGCAGAACTAGTTTGAAGGTATCCTCACCACAAGGTGCAAGCGTGCTTTCCCCAGTCCAGGCTGAGTTTCCCATCCAGAAGAGTGAGGCTCCTAGAGTAAGTCTATGGCAAAACCAGTTGTCGTCGGCACCGAATGGCTAGTTTCCATGTTGGCCTTGACATAATCCTCACCTCACTCTGATCTTTAGAGCTATTTTGCAACTTCTTTTAAAAGCTTTGCATTTCAAAAAAATCAAGAGAAGGATGGATGCATAACCAGATAACCAGGGAGTAGAACCACCTTTGCAACAGCGTCTGCTGCAGCCCACCTGGCACCAAATTTGCCATCCTTTCGGTGCCAGGTCAAGGCAGCCCTCCAGGCAGAGGACTTTAAGAACCTCCAGGAGGCAGGGGCTGCTGGCATGCCGGGGTCACGGACTGCCGTGTTCCAGGTCCCTGGCTGGCCACTCCTCACCTGCAGCTGTTTCCAGCGCGTGTTGATCTGCTCCAGGGAACGCGAGTTCTCCATCGACAGGTGCACGTCAGAGATGGCAAGCTGGTGGGCGAGGTCATTCACAAGCTTCACTCCGTCCTTCATCGGGGAGAGCTCCTCTTTGAACAGCTGGAAGGCCACCCAAGGCAAAGGACGAGGGGCAGGGTGGAAGCAGAGAGCCAGAGAGGGACACAAACCAGCTTTATACTTGCGTCATTTAGGAAAGCAGACAAAGGGGATGAACTGAAACAGCCGTTTGTTGCATTCTCAGGAGGCATGTTTTGCGGAGGAGCCAAGAGCACTTTTCTGCTCAGAAAGAGGGCATCACTGAATCCACACATGCCCCTTTTATTCATGGATTCAGTGATGCCCCTTTCTGAGCAGAAATGTGCTCTTGACAGCTTGCCAAGTGCTGGAAAACAAGTCGGAATCACTGCAACTTCAGCAGCAATGACAGCAATAATGGTGGGGTCCATGAGCGGCACTGACCACCCTGACCTACAGAGAAAAGACATTTAGTGGGGCTACACATGGCATTAATCAGGCAGCTCTGGAGTGAAAGGATCCATCCAGCAGGGGCTCGGAACATCACCCCCGCCTGCCTTTCGTAGGCTTGGCTCCTTCCTGCCAACCACCAATCCTTAGGAAGTTCCCTGGGCTTTGTGCAGTGTCTTCCCCCTCTTCAAAGAGATTGAAAATGCACCTCCTTGGGCTGAATTACTGGCAGGAAGAGCTCTAAGCTGCAGGAAATATGATTGCTACTTCTGGCTGTGCAGAGGCCAGAAATGCTGCTTCAGAGCTTCTCGGAAATGGAACGCAGCAAATGGTTCTGAGCCTCCAATTGCAAGGAGTCATTTGCGAAAGTGGCAGCTCGATATTGCCCCCTGCTGATGGCCTGCTCGGAACCAGGGTTTCAGTGCCCGCGAGAGCGCTGACAAGACTTTCTCTCCTCCTTCTTATTCTGTGAAAGGACTGCTGCAGGCTGATCCAGATGAAAGAGAGGGCCCAGGGCAGCGGCACCTATGGCTCACGAGCCACAGCGGGCATGCAGAGCCCTCTCTGGCAGCACGTGAGCCAAGTCCCCCCAGCAGCAGAACATCGGGTAACAGCGCACACGGGGGCCATGCGCATGCTCGGAAAGGAGCAGCAGCGCCAGGCGATGATTATCACGAACCATGACTCATGAGTCGCAACTTGTCCAAGCATTCGCGTGGCCGGTCAGTGCGCTGCGAAGGAGATATAGATACACTTGCTTAGACTGGGTGTGAGTTGTTTTTTCTAAACTAAAACATCAGTTTTCAGGCTTAACGACAGTGTTGGCACTTTGTGATGAAGAAGTGGGTCTTGCGGGGCAGTCCAGGCACTTGGGCTCTACAAGGTTCACCATCACTGGGTTAGGGTCAGAAAACGAGGCGTCCTGGCATGATTGTGATGGTTGGGATGTGTTTAGAAGGGGCAGAAATGATGAGCTGTGCAGAAAAAGCGACTCAAGGAAGGCTTTTTCAAAATCGCACTCCTTTCAACGGGACCTTACCCCTATATTAGGGTTAGGGGTGTGCACCAGGGTAGGGTTAGGGTCAGAAAAACGAGGTGTCCTGGCATGATTGTGATGGTTAGATTTTGACAAGGAAGGCTTGTTCAACATCACCCTCTTTTCAATGGAACTTTACCCTTATATTAGGGTTAGGGGTGTGCACTAGTGTAGGATCAGGGCAGTGGTGGCGAACCTATGGTACTCGTTCCACAGTGGGCACACAGAGCCCTCTCTGTCAGCATGTGAGCCAAGTCACCCCCAGCATCGCCCCAGCAGCCAAGCATCTTCTAACAGCACACACAGGGGCCATGCGGATGCTCAGAAAGGAGTAGCAGAGCCAGGCGATGAAGTCACGAACCACGACTCATTAGCCGTAAACTAAAACCTCAGTTTTCAGGTTTAATTGCAGTGTTGGCACTTTGTGATGAATAAGTGGATTTTGGGTTGCAGTTTGCATACTCGGTCTCTAAAAGGTTCACCATCACTGGCCTAGGGTTACAGCTCTTCTCCTGTGACTAGGCCCCAAGCTGCAAGCTAGGTCTGCAGAAGTATAGAGATTAAGAGAAGCTGAAAACCAATGCCATGCTCCAGAACCTTTCATTCCCCCTTTAAAGTGTGGTTTGAATATCTGATCTGGGGAAGAATCCTGCATAACTGACTCAAAAGGTGCATATGAAGGCCTACAGATTCTAATAAATGTATTAGCTTATCAATTTTGTTTGCTGCTTCTCATCATTTGTATGCAGCCCCTTCTGTGCTGGGCTAAGACATATTGGGCAGGTTTGGGTGTCACTTTAACTACCCAGGGTGGTTACACAGCCAGCCTGGCTTTAAAGTTGCCTGGGGACCTTGCAGTGACTGATGAATGATCAGGCACCGCAGGGGTCCTGAGACACCTCCTCTTCCTCGGTCTTCCTCCCAGCATTTCAGGCACACTGCTGGAGTGCTACGAAGGGATGCAGTGACACTGCTGGAAGTGGGCACTTGGGTGGGTGGCATACAGTGGACGCCGGCGGATTCCTGCTTTCCCTCAGCTGGAATTGCCAGGAACAGGCTTAGAAATGATGACAGGGACCAACGTGCTGCTCAGACACTTGGCTGGTTGTCATTCACTAAACCCCTTGACCAGAGCAGCAGCCTGTTTTCGCCACTCTGCAAAGGGGCTCTATAGTCTTCCAACTTGACCAATGTTTAGTGTGTCATCTGAGTTTGGATGGCACAGTAAACTGTGGAGGGTTGACTAGAATAGTCGAGGTGACTTATAACCTGGGAAGCAGGGGTTGCATTTGATGGCATCCTAAACCACCACTTTGCAGGGGCTTCGTGTGTCAGTTGAGCCTAGCCACTGAGTCATCCGTGCCTCCTCCTCCCCCGCGAGGCCATGTGGCAAAGTTGAAGATGAGTCCACGGACAAAGGCTACCTTGGTGGCCTGGATGTGCTCTGGCAAAGAGTCGATGAAGAGGTCCCCAATTGGTTCCCAGGTCTCTCGCACACTTTCTGCCTGGTTGAGGGTCGTGCTGAGCTCCTCCATCGTGCCCTTGATCTCCAGCAGCTGCTCCAGGGTCCTCTCGATGTGGCGGTGCTGGTCAACACAACGGGCTGTGAGTTTCTCCCATAGCTCACTGGCCACAGTTGCCTGTTTCCACACAAAGCGGCTGATGTTCTGGATCCGGTGTCTTGGGGAGACATCTAGAAACCGAGCAGCAACAAGCGTGAGGAGAACAGCCTTTGAGACTGATAAGCGGGAGGTGTAACTTCATCAGGGGGAGGGAGGGACTTTAGGGGCATCCAGAAAAAGATGCAGAAGAGTAGGAAAAGGGCAGGGGGATCAAAGGAAAGGGAGAAGAAAAATGGGACGGTGATGCTTCCTTTGCGGTCTCAGATACCCCAGCTCAGCCTTCTTCAACCTGCTGCTCTCCAGATCTTCTGGAGGGCCTTCTCCGTCACAGGGATGGGAAGGAACCTCCACTTTGTTACAGAGCACATACTTTGCACGCAGAACACCCCAGGATTAATTGCTGGCATCTCTCCAAGGCATAAAGAGGTACCCAAATGGCTCCTGCAAAACCCAAATCTTATTGGGAGGAAAAACCTCAGATAGCCAGTGAGGATGAAGCTGGTTTGGTGGTGATGGACCACTGGCTGGCTGCTGTCTGGGGTGGGGAGGATGGAATGGAACATCTGGGGGTGTGGTTGCCACCCCGAACAAAACACCACTCATCGTAACTCTTCCTTGCAGTTACCCCGTGTAGCAACTAACAGTGATGAAAAGCTAAGAACTCTCTTTCTACAGCAAGAAGGCAGAACCTCTTTCAGGCTGAGGTCCCAGTGTCATCTTGAAGGAACTCTCCAAGACAAAAGGGGCAAGGCCGAAATACCAAATGTACCATCCCATTTTAGCTTAAAGCTCTTGCTGCCAGTAACTAAGTTTTGGAGAGGCTTTCAGCTTTTCAGAATGGGGAAAGGCTGCACAAAAGCCAAGAAAACACCAGTTAGAAGTGGGTGGAGCCAGCCGGGCATCCCCAAGGAAGCTGGAACTGGCCCTGGGCCAGGTGTTCTGAGCTCTCCTGTTCTTTTTCACCTTGTTCTAATAAACTCAGCTCTCCTAGGCAGCCTCCCAGTTCTGACTGAATGATGCCTTTGGCTGCCTTTGGCTGCTCCTGTCCAGAATGCAGCTTTTTGCTACCATTCTGAAACAGGCTTCCAAAGGACAGTCCATAAGCAGAGTTTACCCCTATAAAATCTGTACGAAGGTCAGAAGTATGCCATTCCATTGTACTCATGGTGATTCCAGGGCAAGGAGGGATTATGGGATGTCTCTGTGGCAACAAGGCAGGCCAGACAGCCAGTGAAGAAGTAAATAGCCCCTGGTTCACTGGGCAGCAGCTTCTGGGGCTGTAATAGAGCAGGGACAGACACCGCAGTTGGAAAATGCAGACCGAGGAAGATGAGCTCAGGGGCAAACCTTTGCTGTCAGGATTTGAGTCTTCCACTTCTTCAAATGGGTGCTGAGTCAGGAAGGCTTGAGCAGATTCCAAGACTGAGTAAATATAAGGGCCCCGGGACTTCACTTCTTCCATGAATACCTACGCAGGGAGAAAGAAGCGAGGCAGGTCAGGTGAGAGGCAAAAGATGACACGGCAGTGCTGATTCCAGGGTCTTTGCAGGGTGGGTACCACCGGCTCCCCTCAACTGAGAAGGTGGAACATGCAAAGCAAGCATTCTCTTGGGCTGCACCTGATTTTTCTAATACTCCATGCAAGCTTGAAAATGATAAATTGCTAGGGCGGTGGGCCCTCTGCTGATCTTGGCCAACACCCAACCATGTCACATTTTGGAGCTAATCTGACATGCCTCACTGCACAGAGAATCAGTCAGTGACGCAGGACGGGAGGGCTAAGAGCTGAAATACCCCAGGGGATACCGTTTGTTCTTTCCTGAGAAAAAATGGCCAGAATTGGCTGAAAAGCCATCTATCAGATGCAAAGCAAATCCCCCCGCCCCCATTACTGGGATATAAGGCAATTAGGCCAGTGGGTGACTGGAAGCAGGGCCTTCTCTGTGGTGGGTCCCCAGATCAAGAATCTTAATTTTAGTGCAGATAGTTTCTAATTGTATAATCCAACAGGTAGGATGGTGAGGGGAAGACCTATTAAGGGTTAGCATCTTCCCCAGAGCTGTGAACGTGCTTGAGAATTCCTTTCCAGGGTTAGCTAAGCAGTGCCTCTGGAAGCAACATTCCCCAAAGGGCATGTGCTGCCTGAGCCTGGACACACTGCACCCCAGGCTAATCGAGTGATTTTGCCTCCCAAGGCCAACACAAAGCAAATCCCACAACCTCTTCCCTGGCAATAAACTGGCAATAGAAATAAATGAATGACAAACATTTTGCTGCCCTCCCCCCTGGAACCAGCTGCCTCAGCCCGCTTCATGAGAGGGCTGGCGCTGGCGGAAACAGCATGTACATACCGCATGCCTCTCCTTCTCCTGCTGCACCAACAGCACATCCCCTCGGAGTGGCAGCTGGGCAGAGAGCTCTTCATCTTTCTGACTAAGCCAGTCTATGATCTCCTGCAGGGGAATCTGCAGCTTGCCACTGTGGTCCGAGAAAGCCTCCAGGCGAGCCCTGCGGAAAGGAGGGAGTGACCCAGGGAGGGCAGCAAGGGAAGCCGAGGGGATGGGAAATAGAGGTAGGAGTAGAGCTGACTTCCTCTGCACTTGGAAATACAAAGCAGGGCTTGCATCCTAAACTGTAGGCAGCACGTGGTTGGTGCAATGTTTTAATTGCGGTAATGGCCAGGTTCCCACATGACATAAGGCTGTTGAATGGGCCATCATGTCGTGTGAATCCAACTCACTAATAAACCACGGCTTGCTAACCACAAACAACCTAGAACGCGAATTCATGATTGGTTTCTGGGTTGTCTAAGCCATGGGTTGCCACTATGTGCCATCTCAGTGCCGTAGGTTGTTCCAAGGTTGTTTTATCAGGCTTGAGAGGTGGCAGGCAAGAACGGAAAATTAGCCACTCTGCATGTCAGTTTATTATTCATTTAAGCACATAGTTATATGCTACCTATAACTGCCCAAAGGCCTTCCTACAGTGCTACAAGGTATTTGGGATGGAGGGAATGATGGAGGGAAACAAGCAAACCAGGTTCTGAGAAAACAAGCCAAATTCAATTGTTAGGCAAATCATGGATAAGACAAACAAGCAAACCACGGATTTGTGTTAAATCAACGGTAGATTCCTGTTTATGCACAAGCTAACACAGTCCATGGTGATCAGGAGCTAAAGAGGCCAAAGCTCCTGCACCTTGAAAGGGTAGTTTGGAAACCAAGGTGCAGACTGAGGCAGGACAGTCCAGACACTTCGCTGCTGGCACAGCCATGCAGGCTAGTTGTCCCTGTTCCTCATCATCTGAGCGGAACCAGGAAACTCGAAGAACTAGCGAGGGCCTGTCTGGCCAAAGTTCTGCTCTGATAGGGAACTACCAAGATGTGGGAGATATGACCCCGAATGGCATTTTGAGCTTAGCTTTCGCATCCGTGAGAGTGAATGACCAGGTGCGCACACCAGATGAAAAACACGGCACTTTGTCCTGTATCTCCTAAGCATCTTACCGGAGGTTGTGTGATTTCTTTTTGATCTCATTCCAGCAAAGATTCATCTCCAGAGGCATCTGTGGCCCAGTGGCACTGTTTGGTGGCTTCTGGCTCACACAGGATGGTGCAGCGCCATCTTGGGCTGTTTTAACCTAAACAGAAACGGAGGGACCAGCATTATCCAGGCAATTGGTGGGTACCAACAAGATAACGTGGCACATCTCATACTTGTGTTTCCCTGTTTGCCACGGGGAGACTAGATGAGAAGACTTACTGGACGTGAGGGTGAAATTGAGACACACTTGATCCAAGGTATTTTAGTTGACTAATTTATCCTTATATAGAAAATGAAGCTGATGGAAAATGGCATATTTATTTTAAGGTATGCGTTTGCTTTTTATTTTATTTTATTTATTTATTTATTTATTAAAACATTTCTATGCCGCCCCTTGCCGAAGCCTCAGGGTGGCTCACAGCACAAATAAAATACAATAAAATACAATAAAATTTTAGCATGTGTTTCTAGCTGTTCCCCAGTGCTGGCTGGGAGATTCTGGAAGTTGTAGAATTTTTTTCCCTATCTAAACATGCAGATGATTACAAGCAAAGTGTTTAAATTCCGCCAAGAGCTTCACCAGTTGCACCAGCTGCCTGTCCATGCCTCAGCCCAATTCAAGGTCCTGGTATTTTCAGAGCCCTAACAGCTTGGGACCAGGTTACCTGAAGGATCACTTCCTCCCATTTATACCTCCCTGGAACTTAAAATCATCCTCAGTGCTCTTTCTGTGGGAGCCCGGCAAACAGCCACTAAGAAGAGCGGTTTTCTGCTCTGGCTCCCCAACTAACTTGCCAGGGAGGCTTGTGGGCTCATTTGCTGTGCTCTTTCCAGTGTCAGGTGAAGACCGTCTTTATTCCTCCAGGAATTTCAGTCCTTGTCTCTCTGTTTAAAATCCCTTGCTTTCTTCTAAATCTCTGTACTCCTGCTAGGCTTGACTTTGGTTTTTACTTCTGTTTTATACTCTAGTTTTAAATTTTTATGGTTTGTTTTATGTTGTATTTTCTGGCTTCAATGGCTGTGAGCTGCCTGGAGAATTTCAATTCTTGGGTGGTACAGAAAGGTAGTAAACAAGTATTGAGTATGGCATCAGCTGTCATTCTACAAGCAGAATTTCAAACAAAGGCAGAGCTTCTATTCTGTATATGTACATTCAGTTAGAAGCCCTCTGGGCCAGTTAGGATTTCAAAACCAATCTACTAAAGAAAGAGCAGAGGGGTGGTTATCCACATGGACTAGTGCAGTGGGCAGAGCCTTCAATGGAAGGACACCCTCCTTTAAGCAGCAGTGAAACTTGAACTCAGAGGCAGAGTTTTGTGTTTTCATGCAAAATGGTGCCTGGTTCATTCCGTGCCATGCCTGGTGAAAGGATCTGGAAGCAAGAAATGAGGCAGCCTGTATTCCTCGCGAGACACGGGAGAACCGCCCTTACTTAGAGCAAATGGACAAGCAGTCTGAAAAGGGCCGCTTTCGCTATAGCCAGGACAAGGCAGTAGATCAAGCATGATCCTTGTTTGTTAAAAAGCTACTAGGGGGCAGCAGTGAGCTGCGCAAATCACGCATGGTACCTCCTTGCGTCTCTTCTGGCTCATGGGCCAATCGACCCATAACTTTGCTTTTTGTTAAAATCTTGATAATTTGCTGACAGCTTCGTAATTTTTCGTAGCAGAAGTGCACAGTCTCACTTCCTTAAGGTGTGCTCCACGAACCTGCTTCAGGATGTGAAAAACGCCTCCTTGGATCAGACGCACCTAATCCAGCATTCTGACAAGACGCTTTGTCCCTGCCAGGCTGCATCACGGAGGTGCAGAAGTTCCCAGGTTCCAAAGGCCACTCTCCATTCCCCCGCCCGATCAACAGTGGTTTCGGTAGCTCCCTGCCTCCCCCCACCCTTTTGTCCAGCTACAAGGCTTCGATTCCCAAGCCACTGCATTAAACGACAACGAGCAATGCAGCCTCCAAAGGATCTAGAAGTGTAACTGAGCAATTCTGTTCTTCTTGCCCGAAAAGTGTGCATTGAATTGCAGCCCCACATTTTATGCTGAGTTTGCTGCTGAAAAAATCCCCCTGATGGAGAAATACACAAAGCATGACCTCATTTTAATTATCATTGTACCCTTCCGGTTTGTCTCTTTCCTATTGCTTCTGCACGCCACCTTTTTGCTTTATGCACATGGACACACAAACACAACACTCCTCCTCCTCCTCCTCCTCCTCCTCCTAGATTTCTTGCTATGTGCATTTACTCCAAGCTTGCCACAATGATGAGTGAGTACATTAAGCTGGTTTTGGGAGGGGAGGGGAGGGGAGGGGAGGGGAGGAGAGGAGGAAATCCTGGGGGAATTCCACTACCCACACACTGCTGTTTTCACTCCTTGCCCTGCACGTTTCAAATCCACGTCAGGCAAGGCCACGGCAGAGTGCCCCCACATGGGATCAATATGCAGGCAGCCTTGCGACACAAACAGGAGTCAACAACATTTCCTTATTGCCGCTTTGCAGACTGACGGCACCTAGATAATTTCAGGTGCACACGCAGCTGCAGTTCCCACCATGCGTTTTCAGGAGTGCCGGCAACCTGAAGCTCAGACATTCTGATCCTAGAGTGCCTCTTCCCTCATCAGAACACCTTTAGAAGAAAAATCAAAAACACTTGGGAGCAATGTGCCTCTGAGGATGTACAGAATAGCTTTCCTTTTTGCTTCTGGCCTGTTTTAAAAAGCACATATGTTGCCCTTCCCACTGTGCTGTGCACACACCCGCACGCACACACTCCTAAGTATTTCTTTTTACAAAGCATAGAATGACATCACTGTAATACTGCATATAAAGCAGATCTCTATATTCCCATATCGAATTCACTTAGCTTATATCAGGTATCAAATGAAGTGTGATGCTTTTATTACCTGCCATTCTCCAGGTGGTCATTTTGGGACCCTCTGGGCTACTATCTGTGCCACTGGAATGTCAACACTGGGCTAGATAGTCTGCCTCAGTGAGTGGGTTCAGACAATGCAACAGCTCTCACTGATGGGTTGATGCTGGGTTGAGGGTGGGTTGCCATTGAATTGTAGGGTGTTGTTGAACCATGGGTTATTGGGTTGTCTGAACCCAGCTGGCTGACCTTAACCAACCAACCAGCTTACAGTTCACAATCCAGCAACAAACCATGGGTTCTCTTCCTGGTTTCTTTGTGGTTAACCAAGTGTGGCTAGGGTAGCTGCCTTCAGAAAACACAATAAACCTTGTTTCAACAAGCATCCATGGGTCAAACACAGCCCACACTCCACCCTTGAGAGTGGGTTATTCTTTTGCCTGAACTCAGCCAAGAGAAGACCACCTTCTGTATTCTTATATTCTTGGTGTGATCCAAAATTATAGCTTCCATATAGCCTGATTCTGCCTCATCTTGGAAGCTATGCAGAGCTGGGCCTGGCTGAAATCTGGATGGTAACATAAATATTGTGAACCACCCAGAGAGTGTTGGCTACAGGGCAGTATAGAAATGTAATTAATAATAATACTAATCCAACGCCACAGTGTGTGCTTTTGCAAAGACACATCTTCCTTGTCTTGAGCACCAAAGCTGACATTTTCACTAAGAAAACTTCCTGCAGTGATAATTCGTGTGCCAGCCATTAGTGTATCCCTTTCTCCCAAAGCCTTGTAGCATTTACTGTTTTCCATTAGCAGCCATCAAGCCCCCTACCCTGAGGGCTTCAGAAGTGGCAGACTCAAGGATCAAATAGCTCTTAATGGAACGAAGGCTCAAGGGAGGATGCCCAGAACAGTCTACTCAGCAACAATGCCACAGAGTCTGGGGAAAGGGGTGGGAATAGGATTCTGGCGGGGCAGTAATTCATCTGGGGGCAGAGGAGGAAGAAGCAGGAATCGTCCAGGAATTGCATGCAAACACAAGTCAGATTTGCATGCA